CAATTGGCACCAGCCATCGTGGGAGGGCTGGTTTTAATTTTCCACACCACTGTAACAGCCCAGCACCCAGAAGGACTGGAGACCCAATCTCATGATTTTCCAAACTTGCCTCTGTAGAGGACAGGCAGGCCAGACCACTGGCCCTTGGTCCAGCTTCTGTCACCAGCATGCTGTGTGGGCATTTGACCTCTCTGGGCCTGGTGTCTTTATCCGACCAGCCTGACTGTCCCCGTGGGCTCTTGGGAGATTCAGCTGAGGTAAAGCATAGAAAATAACAGGAGGTGCTCCTGAGAAGCGCTTTCTGCACCACCCTCTGGAAACCCCAGTCTTCCTGCTATTTCTGGAACACACCCAGCTCAGTCCTGCCTTGTGGCTTTGCATTTGCTGTTCCTTCTGTAATGCAGGTCTCTGGTTCCTATCTGAAGCAGGTAGTATAGGATGGCAGGACTCTGAACTCCCAAAAGCAGGAGCTCCTCCGTCATGGCCTGTGGTCTTTTTGTTTGTTTGTTTTTGTTTTTGTTTTACTTCCAACTGTTCCTATAGATAACCGCTGGTCTTAATATATACACATTACACTGAAATTATCCTCAGTGTAACATTGAAGCAGGGCCAGGATTCAAATCTCAGTGATGTGGGCATCTGTGGGTTTCGCCTGCCCCTGCACCTGACAACAGCACCTTGACCTGCCCGTGTGAACACTCCTTCCCTACTGCAAACCTTTATGCGTGGTGGGCCATCCCAGCCTCACCCCTTGTTACAAGTGGGCACATGACTCAGCCTGGCCAATCAGCACATTCCACCCCCTTGACTATAGTGATTGGCTTGGGACTGAGCATGTGACCCAATCTGGTCCAATGGAAGACCTAGCTGGAAGTTGTGTGGGATTATTGAGAACTAGAAAGTCTCCTCTGTTAGGGTTGCTCAAGACAGAAGAGAATTTAACTGACACAAACAGAAGAAAGCAAAACCCAAAAGAGAAGATGAAAGAAACTGAGTTTAGCAGTATAGGTCCCAGCTTTCCAGTTACATGGACCAGTAATTGCTTTTCTCATTTAAGCCAGCATGACCTGAGTTTCTGTCACTTGCCACCAAAAGATTCCTGGCTCGTGCAGCTAGCCTGGTTGGTTTTAGACCATGGCTCTTTAATCTACACTGTGCTGAATTTGATCATCTCCTTTCCATCAAATATCATTCCAGCCCCTAGCCAAGGAACCAAACCTGTGATTTCTCCAGAGCTAATCTGGAAGATAAAACACCCAAGCAAGGTGGATTTTGCTGACAAGGAAACCATTTTGTTGAAAACTTCTCTCTGTCACCTAGCTGCAATAGTTGAGGTTGTAAGGTGTTCCTGTTCATGAACTTGATGTTTCTGCTCAACTTAAGCTGGCTGAGTAGAATTGAGGAGGCAAGTAAGCGATGGGGCTTGCCTAACAGCTCTCCGTCTACCAGGTGATTGCAGTGAGTTATTGGGCACTGAAGTGGTCTGCCTGCTTGGGTTTTCTTGGAGGAAAAAAAATCAAAGTTTCTTCCTATACACCCCCACCAGGATTTGTCTAGAAGGTTGACTCAGAGAACATGCAGCTTGTCAACTGGCTTCTCCTCTATGGCCTCTGCCGCAGGTCCTTAAAAGAATGAAATGTTTTTACATAATAAAATAGTTTGGACCAAACTCAAAATTCATTCTAGGGAAAAAGAGATTCTGGGGGAAAAAAGCTCTTTCTGGGGTGATTTCCAATGAGCATGCAATCTGAAGGGGCAGCTTGCCCTATTTCCTGGATGATATAATGGTAATAATATTGGCTGGGCGTGGTGGCACGCACCTGTGGTGTCAGCTACTTGGGAGGCTGAGGCAGGAGGATCGCTTGAGCCCAGGAGTTCGAGGTTGCTGTGAGCTATGATGATGTCACTGCACTCTAGCCAGGGTGACAGAATGAGAGTCTGTCTCAAAAAAAAAAATGATAACAACAGCAGCTACCACTTATTGCACACTTATGGAGTCAGGCGCTGTATTAAATACATTCTCCTATTTTATCCTCACAAAAATCTTAAAAGGAGGGATAACAATTATCCTCATTTTGCTCATGAGGAAAATCTGAGGCTCAGGGCAGTACAAGGAAATGTCTGAGGCCACACAACTAGTTGGCAGTAAGCTGGGGGTTCACCCTAGGTGTGAGGGTCAACAGATGAATTGACTCTGGATGGGAGTTCTGCCTGTTTCTCAAAATCCTGGAACAAGCAGGGTTGTTGTATTATCAAGTGTCAAAAGGAAGCCAGCCCAGTGCCTACTGTGGTCAGCCACCCAATCTATCCACTGGTGTGATCAGTCTGCTGAAGGCCAGCGCCCAGCCGGGCACGAGGTCAGCACTCCACAGATGTTACCACATCTGAAAAGAGGCTGGAAGGAAGGGGAAAGGGGAGAGCTCATGCTTATAGAGCACCTCCTGCATATCTGGAAACTCTGTGTCAAGACATTCATTCATGCACCGTGGAGCTGCCACAACAACCAGGCACTGTGTGAGGTCCGAGGTAAGGTCCATTTTCTCATCCACTTTTATTCCATTTCATGGAATCCTGACGATACTCCTCATGGTTTTGACATCTCATTTTGATAGATGTGGAAACTGAGGCTCAGAGACACCTGTCCCAGGATCACAGAGGGCCCCGGTCAGGGTCTCAGCTGTGATGTGATCCTCATCTTCCTTAATTCAAGACAAGAATTTGTGATGACTCTTGAAACGATGCTTCAAGAACACCCAAAGTTCCTCCCTGTGCAGCTGGGAGCTCAGGACAGAGCACTTGACACCTCCACCTTTCCTCACCTCCCCTGTATTCCACGTGTCCAGGGGGTGGGGTCTCCTTCAGTGGGACTCTACACAGTGGTGTGCTGGTACTGACTGGTATCAACTCATAAGAGCCGACTAAGATTTTGAGAATTTTATGAATCATGTTGGCAGCTTGAAACTGACCACAGTGGAAGTATTTACACCCCAGAAATTGGCAAATCCTACAAATCAGGGCTTTGTAAAAATTCTCCCAGACAGCCAGTTGTTAACTATTACCCAGCACATCACTGGACTTTAGAGAAACTCTTCTGGTTCACTGTATACCCACACATTCATTCAATAAATATATATAGTGAGCTCCCCTTTTAACATAATACAGTTTGCATTCACTTCCATACTTGTTCTGAAAACTTTGACTCATGGCCTATTATATGCCAGGTTTTATGCCAAATACTGAGAATTCATCAGTGGCAAGATAGATGTAGTCCCTGCCCTCGTGGAGCTGTTTCAGGAAAATCCCAGAATGGTGTAGAAAAACTGCCCTCCAAACTGAGATGGTGCCAAGAGACCAAAGAAATAACCCAAATCCAGCTGGGCAAGTTAGATGAGTTTACTAGAGGTTAATTACATGGGGCTCTCATTCTTAGGTGGCCACTCACTCGTGGGCAGTGGCAGGAGCTCTTCGGAGAGCAAGATCTGCACTGCCTGCCTCTTTGTGGAGCCTTAAATTTCTTTCTAGCAAGTGACCCAGCACTCTCTCTCTGCATTACTGTATATTTTCATATGATACAGGTTAAGCATGCACAGTACTTCCCGTTAGGCAGGGACTTTAGTATCGCAATTAACTAAAGGGGAGTAAGGCAACTAAGGAAGCTTAAAACAGTTTAAACTGGTCTCAAGACTTATGATCATTTACACAAAAGGAGCTACTTAAGAATATCCTTTGCGCTTTGTATTTCTTTCAGCTTTTTTTTGTTTAGATCTGTATCTCTAAATTCAAAACAAACCTGTCCAAGTTCTGTTAAACACTAAAAGCCAGTGGTGGGAGCTTGTATTTTTCTCTCTAGAGGTCACAGTCTACCAAGGCAGCCAGATTTTAACATCCCCCCACCTCCAAAAAAAGTCACACAACCTGTGCTATGAGTAGGAGTTAACCAAGTCAAGAGACAGAATGGGTGCAGGGAGACTCCAGGCACAGGGAACAGCATGTGCAAATTCCCCGTGGCAGGAGAAAGCTTGGTGTGTTCCTGGAGCTGACCCAAGGCCAGCACAGCTGGAGAGTAAAGAGTGAAGGGGTTGAAGAGGGCCCTTGCCAGGCTTGTGGGCCATGCTAGTGACTTGTCTTTATTTTATTAATAAGAGTCCTACACCCAGGCCTCAGCAAGTCTATCAAAGACAGCCCATGCTTTTCAACGTCTGTGGAACTCCGTCCTCATTCCCTCATCAGATCCTTCTTTATACCTCTGTAGGCCTAAGTTTCCTCATTGGAAAATGAAGGTAAAAGTGGAGATAATGATTTCATGGGGTGGCTGTGGGAATCAAATGAAGACCTAGATGAAAAGCTCCTAGCTCCCTGTCTGGCCCACTGCAAGCCTGAGCGAATCGAACTATTACCTTATTTCCCTCCTTCCACAATGTTCATTCAGCCCATCCGCTTTCTCGTTTCCAGGCCTCACACCTTTACTCCGGCACCAGGAACCTGGCACCAGTGAGATGGTACAGTGGCCCCTGGGCGGAGGGGTCCTGCCTTGCATCGCTTATTTGTACCGCATCCCTGCTACCGCCAGGCGCTTGTTCTAGGCACTGAGGACTGGGGAGACGCAGATGTGGGGTCTGTGGGCTGAGACCTCCTCTCTTTCCACATCCAGCTCCCCAGGCGGGTTTAGGTGCCGGCTCAGGCTTCCCACTCTCCCTTGCGCTGCCGGACTCTCTGAAATGCCACCGTGTATTTCCACATCTCTCTCCCCGGCTACACCGTGAGCTCCTTGAGGGCATGGCCTGGGTCTCAATCATCAATGAGCACGGTGCCTGGCACACAGACAGCCATCAGCCAACGTCGGTTGAATGAGTCTTAAACCACACACGTTACAGGTGGAGCAAGAGAGGCCACCCCAGCTGCCCCCTCCGCGGTGCCTGAGCCCGCGGTACGGAGGGCGGCTCCAGAACCGGCGGCCAGATCCGGGGCGCTCCCTCCGTCCTCGCCCTCCCCGGACTCACTGAGAAGTTGTCGGCTCGAGTCGCTGAGAGTCACGTTCTCCTGCCAGAAGGGGTTCATCAGCGGCGCGCACGGGCTCTGCACTGGAGGGGACGGAGGAATCAATCAGTGGGCACAAGTACCCTGGAGTTCCGACCTCTGGCTGGCGGCGTCGCCCCCACGTGCGCCCTAAATGCCCCACCCGGGGAGAGCGTGGGGAGAACCAGAGCAGTTGCGAGCGGAGCTGGCGCCTCTCAGAAGGGCTTTCGCAGCCCCAGCCTCTGCCCGCCGTCCCCGCGCCCCTAGACCCTGCATTCTGCGCTTGGGGCTTGGGGGAGGGGTGCGCGTCGAGCAACAGATCCTAGGCGGGCAGGGCACCCGGCGTTCGCGGCCACAGCCCCTGGCCCCCGGGTGCACCTTACCCCGGCAGGTCCGCCAGAGACCGGAGTGGGAGCTCAGCGGCTCGGGCTGGCTGCGGTTGGCGGCCCCTTGCGGGTCCTGCGCCCCCGGGCCGCTCCTCTCCAGCCGCTCGGTGTCGATGATGTACCAGAAGTCCGTGCCGATGGCGGCCGCCAGGAGCACGAAGCTGAGCGCCCCGGTCAGCGCCGCCGCGCCCGCCAGCGCGCCCAGGTGCACCCGCATCGCCCAGCCGGACCCCTGCCCGCCGGTTCCTGCGGCCGAGGCGCGGACTCCCAGCTCCACTCCCGGAGCCTCCAAGCTCAGATCGGGAACCCAGCCCTGGGACCTCGGGCTCCAGCTCAGACCCTGGCTCTGCCCTCTGACCTGCACGCGCTCCGGGTCAGACCCCGTCCCCAGTCCTCAGGTGCCAGCTCCAACTGCAGACCCCTCACCTGTGCCGTCCACCCTCCGCCTCCGGGCGGTCCCGGGATCCCAGCCCCTCCGCACTTGCAGCCCCACCCGTAGCCTGAATCCCAGCTCTGCCCTGCCTGACCCAAGCGCACCCGCTCCTCAAACTCCTCACTTTTCCCCCAGACCCCACTTCCTCCGCTGCCTGCCTCACTCTCCACCACCCCTCAGCCGCTCCCTGCTCTGCCAGGGTCTCTCCCTTTCCGCCCCAGCCCCTCCTGTTCTCCCGGCACTGCCTCACTGCCGGCTCCCTACTCCCCCCGGCTCCCAGCTCTTCCCTCGCCCGCCCTTCTGCCCTTCCTGAAGCTCTGGCTCCAGCGCTGCGCTCCGTGTGTTTCAGCAGCCTGGACCCCGGCTCTGAGTGAGCGCGGGAGCCTGACGGTGTGTGTGCGGAGGGTGGGCCTTCAGACCACCTTGGGGAGTACGAAGGAGGGGCGCGGTGGGCCTCACGGTCCTGCCAGGGTTTGCAGATGATCTGCAATAGCCCCTCTCCCTCCAGTTCCAAGTACCCTTCCTCCAAAATCCACCTTCAAGTGATTTTTCTGGATTGATCACAGAGAGAAAGGAAGATTAGTTTTTTACAAAAGTTCTTTAAAGCATTGGGGCAGTCCAGGTCCTCTAAGTCTATCATTTCTAACACCAAAATCTTTCTTCATTATCTAGCCACCACCAGCACTGACACCACCACCATCATCATCATCACGATCAATACCACTACCATCACCACCAGCATCATCACCATAAGTACCATCACCATCATGATCATCACCATCAGTACCACCACCATCACCATCATCATCATCACCATAAGTACCACTACCATCATCATCATCACCATAAATACCACTACCATCACCACCAGCATCACCACCACCACCACCACCATCATCATCATCACCATCAGTACCACCACCATCACCATCATCATCATCACCATAAGTACCATCACCATCATCACCATCACCATAAGTACCACTACCATCATCACCAGCATCACCACCACCACCACCATCATCATCATCACCATCAACACCATCATCGTCCTCCCAAATTGGAATAAAAATCCCTCAGCCAGAAAGAAGCTTCTTCCAGGGATTATGGGATAAAAGGGAAAGAACTTAGACTAGGCATCAGCTCTGCCACTAGCCTGCTAAAAGATCCTGATCTGGTTACTTCGCCTCTCTGAGCCTCAGTTTCCTCATCTGCAAGAGGGGCTAGTAAAAGTCCTCTTCTGGAAATCTAATCCAGCGACAGCTAATATGCTCTGAATCACTACAGCATGGCAGACACAACAAGTACATTCCTTTTTAAATCTTCACATCAATTTTGTAAGACAAGTATGCTTAGTACAACCATGTTACAGATGGGGACAAAAAGGCTCAGAGAGGTTGAGTATGTGAATCAATATCGCACAACTAGGAAGTAGAGGAGCCAGCACTCCAAACACAAATTTGTCTAACTCCAGAGCCACAGTTTGGATGTGGGGTTGGTTTCATGCATTTGAGTAACAAGAACCTAAAGCAAGACTAATGTATAAAAGATACTAAGTCAATATTTATTAACGTGTATTGGCTGACAATAGCTTAATATGGGAGATGCTGTGGAAAGAATTTATGAGAGACCTCACTCCAAAAGTTATCTCCACCACTTATTAGCTGAGTGACATGAGCAAGTGTTTCAGTTCTCTGAACTTCATTTTCTTCAGAAAAATGGATGTATTGATACCAAAGTCACACAGTTATCATCAGAATTGAATGAGATTATAAATGAGAAGGCTTTTATCCCAGAGCCTTGCATATAGTAGCTGCTTGATAGATTTTAGCATCTACTTTCCACAGGTATTATCTAGGTCATTGTGTCTCCATGTTACAGGTGATTAATTGCACTGTGTCGGGAATTAGTCCCTAATTGTTTTGTGTGTATTCTATGTGTCCGTGCTACCCCCAACCCACCCACCACACGTCCCTTCAGTTTTCCTTAGAGTCCTCAGCAAGCACTCGAGACTGGAGAACATTCTTAGGCACAATTGGTCCACAGCAGATTACAATAGTGTCATGGGGGAATTGTCTGATCTCAGCCACCTGCTGGTCTCATCTCCTCATTCCCAACCCAAGGTCAGTCGTTAAAGAGCCTGTGTTTACAGCAAGTGTTGGTGGAGATGTGGAGAGACTGAGCCCTCATCCACTTCTGGTAGGAATGCAAAATGGTGCAGCTTTTTGGAAAACAATGTGGCAATTCCTCAAACTGTTAAACATAGTGTAACCCATGACCCAGAGATTCCACTCCTAGGTGTGTATACCCAAAAGTATTGAAAACCTATGTTCACACAAAGATTTACACAGAAATGTTCATAGCCTCATTATTCACAATAGCCAAAAAGTGAAAACAACCCAAATACCTGTCAATTGATGACTGGATAAACCAAATGTCCTACATCCATACAATGGAATATTATGCAGCAAAAATAGAAACAGACATACTACAACATGGATGAACCTCACAATTATTATGCTAAGTGAAAGAAGTCCGTAACAAAAGACCACATATTGTAGGGTTCCATTTACATTAAAGGTCCAGAAAAGACAAGAGACAGAACTACGTTAGCGGCTGCATAGGGACAGGGGAAAATAAGGAAAGACTATACATGGGCATAAGGTTGTTTGCGGGGGGGGCGGTGATACAAATATTCTAAAATTAGATAATGATAGTGGGCCCCAAATCCTGTAAATATACTAAAATTGAATTGTTTAAATATATATACTAATTTTTTAAGCCTATGTCTGACTTACCCAGGCCTGGACCCAGAGGAAACAGGACAGGAAGAGCTCAGGAATGAGGAGCAGGAGGAGGACAGTGGTGAGATGATGCTGGTGGAGGTGACGACAAGGATAGTAATCACGACAGCACCACTTGTTGAACGTGAATGCTGGCTCTGTGTCAGACACCGTCGCATCCACCATTGTTAAGCAACATGACACTCCTGGGAGGTAGACGTTGCTATTAAGAAGGCCGTGGGGGCTGTAGTCAGCACACGGGCTCCGGAAGCAGCTGCACCTGCACCCCTTCCTAGCCTTGGACCTCGGACAAGGTCCAAAGTCTCACTGGGCCTCAGTTTCTCCATCTTTAGAGGAGGTATAAAGACCATCCTGACCTTGAGATTGTGAGGACATGACATAGAATCGCTCTGTACTGAGCAGAGTTCCAAGTAGCCCACAGAAAACAGCTGGTAGACGTTAGCTCCGGTTATTAGCTCGGGTCCCTGTTTCACAAAATGCGACACAGCAGCTCAGTTTGACCCAGCAAGGTCACACAGCTAATAAGGCACAGACTTGGCATTCAAACCCAGGCCTGACTCCAAACTCAGGGTTGTTGCCACTACCTGGGTATTAATCTGAACAATTAGGTCTGACATCTTCGCCTGCCCCAGCGCCGCAGACAGCAGACAGCCTGCCCCGGCCCCCTCCTGAGAGCATTTGCAGTTCACAGGGAGGCAGCGTCTCTACAGATTGTTAATGCCAGAATTGCCACATCAGTGCCCAGCGCCAGCCTCCAGCCAGCTCCCCCCAGCCCTCCAAGGCCAGAAATCCACTGATAGAGATTCTGAACATCACAAGGGATAGCAGGGTAGGGGGCAGGAGGCAGCCAGATCTCTAGGGTCATGTTGCCTTGAAATTGCCTGCCGCTGGGGCCACTGGCACCCCCTTCCCAGCCAGGACCTGCAATGAGACCCCATGGGAGACAGATTTGGTCCTCCCCATACTGTGGCTCAGTGGGGACAGGTGGAGGGGCAGAGGCACCAGAACCATAGAGCTGGAAGAAACCATAGCATCCGCCCGTCATCTTACAGGAGGAATGTGAGACCTAAAAAAGAAATGTTACTCAAGCCCTCACAGATGACTAGAAAAGAGGACATCTCGGTTCAGCATGGCAGGCACTAACTTATTGAGCAACTACTACATGCCAGGCACTAAGGATACAGCAGGACTAGGACAAGGTCCCCTGCCTCCTCCAAGGAGCTCACAGTGTCATGGGAGTACCAGAAAAGGAAAGAAACACATGTAACACTGTGTAATACCTATAGTCCTAGAAAAAGTTTGAAAGAATACTATTTGATGGTAATGACCATTTGTCGAGTGCTGAAATAACAAGCTCTACCTGTGACAGGGGGTTCACATAGCCCCTACTCGTGCCTCCATCCCAACAATCTCCTCCATACCCTTGCCATGGCTATCAGATTTCATCTTCACAGCAAACTTGTATTACTTTCCTAGGGCTGCTGTGCCAGATTCTTGTGAATTTTATGGCTTAAAACAACACAAGTTTATTCTGGAGAGATCTGAAGTCTGAATGCGGTCTCCCTGGGCGGACGTCGAGGTGCCGGCAGACCTGCACTCACTCCAGAGGCTGTTTCCTCGCCTTTTCTGGCTTCTAGAGGCTGCCCACATTCCTTGGCTTGTGGCTCCCATCTGCACCCAAAGCCAGCAGCTCAGCACCTCCTCCCCAGCCTCCGCTGCCATCCCTCCATCTTCTCTTTCTGACCATCCTGCCTCCCTCCTATAAAGTGCCTGGTGACCACATCGAGCCCACCCAGATAGTCCAGGGAAATTGTCCCACCTCAAGATCCTGAACTTCATCACACCCGCTGTCGCCATTGCGATGTAAGGCGGCACAGTCATAGCTTTCATGGATTACAACATGGACATCTCTGGCAAGCCGCGATTCGGCCCTCCGCAAACCCTAACCAGGTAGGTGCTCATGATGGCTCCCATGTTAGA